AGAACTTCACAGCTTCTCTCTGAGAGGTTACAGCCACTCATGTCTGAAGAGACAACAAACAAAATAACATTTGTATTCACATTAAATCCTCTGATGAGTTTGGACTAGAATACGATCAGTAAGAACAAAAAGGAAAACATGTTCAGTGAAAGTGTTTAAGATTACTTTGTTCTACATTAAACAAGGACGTTTATTGTGCTCTACTGTTTACAGGAATTACTGTGGTATCAATATCCGGATGAGGCAGCGATATTTAATGTTGTTTATTAGTTAAATACAAAGTTAGGTTTCTCTATCCTCCATCTGACTCCTTTCAAAGAAAGATAGAGAGAACAAAGTGAGTGTGAATGTGGAATGGATCTTCATCAAATCAGAAATAATCAACCATCACTCAGCAGATCATCACTGTAGAGACACACATTAAGATCTTCTGTCTCTTTCCCACCTCTACTGTTCATTCATTCATTATATGAAACAGGACATCACAAAGCCTGAATTACAGGAACAACAAGATGAACATGTGATGTTTGATCGTGAAAGAACATTGCTATTTTCAAGCTGCTGTGTAGTAAATACGTCTTGTCTACAAGGTTCTTATGATGTAATGGAAACGTACAGACATTCACAAAAAGTTGTGTTTTGTCTCTAAAATGATTTCCTCTGGTTCCACAGTTCCATAAACACAATATTAAAGACACATTAACTTAATCTGACCTGAGAGTCTCCAGGTCACAGTGTGGACTCTCCAGTCCAGCAGACAAGATCTTCAATCCTGAATCCTGCAGGTTGTTGTTACTCAGGTCCAGCTCTCTCAGACTAGAGGACTGAGAGCTGAGGACTGAGGACAGAACTTCACAGCTTTTCTGTGAGAGGTTACAGCGACTCAGTCTGAAGAGACAACAACAACAAGATATATATTATTTATGCTCAAATGAAATCCTATATGATGAGGAGTTTGGACTAAAATACATCATTAAGAGCAAAGAAAATGTGTTCACAATTCTTTTGTTTTACTTTAAACAAGAGAAATAAATTCATAGTTTTCTGTTGTTGACAGGAAGTACTATAGTATTGACATCAGGACCAGGCAGAGATATTTACTGCTGTTTGTAAGAGCTAAATACAACGTGAAGCTTCTCTGTCCTCTGACTTGTTTTAAAGAAAGAAAACAAAGAACATCTGACAGCAGCAGAAAAGACGGCAGCGTGTTTAAGTCCTGATGTATGAATCTGACTCTCTGTACTTACAGAACTTTGTTGGAGGCTTTGACCACCGGCAGCAGCCTCAGAAGAGCCACCTCTGAAGCAGAGTATTTCTTCAGGTCAAACACCTCCAGATCTTCCTCTGATGAGAGTAAAATGAAGACCAGTGCTGACCACCGAGCAGGAGACAGTTTATCTGTGGAGTGACGTCCTGATCTAAGGGACTGTTGGATCTCCTCCACTAGAGAATCATCATTCAGTTCATTCAGACAGTGGAACAGATTGATGCTTTTCTCTGGAGACACCTTCTCACTGATCTTCACCTTGATGTACTGGACTGTCTCCTCATTGGTCTGTGAGCCACTTCCTGTCTGTGTCAGCAGACCTCGCAGGAGAGTCTGATTGGTCTCCAGGGAAAGACCCAGGAGGAAGCGGAGGAACAAGTCCAGGTGTCCATTAGGACTCTGTAAGGCCTTGTCCACAGCTCTCTGGTAGAGACGCTTTGGTTCAGAGCGTTTAGACCGGCGGGAGGTTCTTTGTTCTCCTGACAGCAGATTGACACCAGAGCTGAAGAAGGTCAGATGGACATGAAGAGCAGCCAGAAACTCCTGAACACTCAGATGGACGAAGCAGAAGACCGTGTCCTGGTACAGTCCTCTCTCCTCTCTGAAGATCTGAGTGAACACTCCTGAGTACACGGAGGCTGCTCTGATATCGATGCCACACTCTGTCAGGTCGGATTCATAGAAGATCAGGTTGCCTTTCTGCAGCTGATCAAAGGCCAGTTTTCCCAGAGACTCGATCATCTTCCTGCTCTCTGGACTCCAGTAAGGATCCGTCTCAGCTCCTCCATCGTACTTGACCTTCTTCACTTTGGACTGAACCACCAGGAAGTGGATGTACATCTCAGTCAGGGTCTTGGGCATCTCTCCTCCCTCTCTGGTCTTCAACACCTCCTCCAGAACTGTAGCAGTGATCCAGCAGAAGACTGGAATGTGGCACATGATGTGGAGGCTTCGTGAGGTCTTGATGTGAGAGATGAGGCTGCTGGCATGCTCCTCATCTCTGAACCTCTTCCTGAAGTACTCCTCCTTCTGGGTGTCAGTGAACCCTCTGACCTCTGTCACCATGCCCACACACTCAGGAGGGATCTGATGGGCTGCTGCAGGTCGTGTGGTGATCCAGAGGCGAGCAGAGGGAAGCAGCTTCCCCCTGATGAGGTTTGTGAGGAGAACATCCACTGAGGAGATCTCTGTGACATCAGTCAGGATCTCATTGTTGTGGAAGTCCAGAGGAAGTCGACACTCATCCAGACCGTCAAAGATGAACACGACCTGGAACTTCTCAAACCTGCAGATTCCTGCTGCTCTGGTTTCACTGAAGAAGTGATGAACAAGTCCCACCAAGCTGAACTTCTTCTCTCTCAGCACATTCAGCTCTCTGAAGGTGAATGGAAATGTGAACTGTATGTCCTGGTGGTCTTTGTCTTCAGCCCAGTCCAGAGTGAACTTCTGTGTTAAGACTGTTTTCCCAATGCCAGCCACTCCCTTAGTCATCACGGTTCTGATTGGTTCCTCTCCTCCAGCTGAGGCTTTGAGGAGGTCTTCTTGTCTGATGGTTGTTTCTGGTCTGGCTGGTCTCCTGGATGCTGTTTCAATCTGTCTGACCTCATGTTCTTGATTGACCTCTGCAGTCCCTCCCTCTGTGATGTAGAGCTCTGTGTAGATCTCATTCAGAAGGGTTGGGTTTCCTGCTTTAGCGATCACCTCAAACACACACTGGAACTTCTTCTTCAGGTTGGATTTGAGTTCACGCTGACAAACTGCAGCATGAAGTCCTGAATGAAGACAACAAAGAAGATCAATGAGTCAAAGAATAGATGTCAACATGTCCTCTCCTCAGAGAATGACTATGAATATATTCTGTCCGTCTCTTGAGACATTAGTGAAGATCTCATTCATCAGCATCTGTAGAGAAATCCTCTTACTGCTCTGCAGACGCTCAGCCAGCTGCTCCTGCTTCATTCTTCTCAGGAAGTGCACCGAGATCTTCTCAAATGCCTCTCTGAACCTCCTCTGCTCTTCATCCAGCACCTCCTCATCCTCTTTCTCTAAGCATTCTGGGTAATCTGAACTCACAACCTTCTGGATCTTCTTCAGCTCGTTCTTCACAAAAGTGAGGATGTTCTCCTCCAGCAGCTGGAACAGAACATTCTATGAATGACAACTAGAACATGGAAGCCACCATCAGGTCCATGTTGGACAGACGGACAATCCACTGGTCTACAAAGTGCAGCATGGAGATGATGGTGAACGGAGATGTAAAAGTAGTTGTTCATGTACACACCATGAAGATGGAGTCCAGATGTGTTTGATGCTGCTGGACAGACGGACCTGTGGGAACCTCTGAGCTCTCCTGGTCCTCTCTGTGGAGGAACATGAACCATCAGCTCACATGGTGTTTGGACCATCAACACCAATACAACATTAGTTAAAGATATTGGCTTCTGTCATGATTGATCACCATGGAAACCAGATGCTGAAGACTGTTGATGATGACGGACAGTTTATTAGTTGAGTGACAGTTTGTCATCAGTTTGATTTGTTTTTAGTTGTTCTAAGAACAACGTCTGCAGACCTCTGCATCTGTTACAAAGTCTTATGGAACTACTCCAAACCTCTTCAGTCCGTCCTCTGACCTCTAGAAGTCTCCTTAGACCTTCTGAAACTAGTCTTTGGACCTTTTCACAGAGTCTACTGACGATACTTTGTCCAAACCTCTGCATGGAGTCCAGAGACCACGTCAGCTGGTCCACAGAGCACCAAGTTCATTCTAATCACATGTTCAGTCCCAGTCATCTTTCTCCAGATGTGACCTCTGCTGATCCTGATGTGGAGGAACTAGCTCACATTGTGTTTACATCTGAGGATGTTTACAGTTAATGATTCACACTTAAACACTCACAGACCAGTTAGATGAAGATAATGAGTTCTGTCATGATGGATCGTCATGGAAACAACACTTTAAACAATGAGCGACCATTTCTGTGATTCATGACTGAGGATCAAAACAGTTCATCTGTTTAAGAACTTACTCTGGGTCATAAGAACGGCGTCCATCTTTGAAGTCAATCCATCGACGTTGAGACCGATCATCTTTGAAGTCAATAAATCGACCTTGAGACTGATCATCTTTGAAGTCAATAAATCGATCATTAGACCGATCGCTCTTCATGGACAAACATCTGGGTTCAGGAGACTTTCCTCTCTGCTGATGTGACCTGAAAGGAACACTGAGATTACATCATCACATCATCATCTAATCATGAAGCATCAGGTCACATGGTGTCCGTCCTCAGAGACCAAAACAAGGTAAAGGTCCATGACGTGAGGTCTGGGTGTGGACCACATGAGTCCCTGTAGTGGTTTAGGTCTACTGGTCCTGCTGGTCCCACTGAGAATCAACAGCTCAGTCTTTCAGCTCACTGTTTGGTTTAGTCCCAACAGGTCTCACCAAGTCCTCCATGGAGCTCTCCCTCCCTCACAGGACACTGCTGAAGGGTCCTGGAGCAAGAAACCCAGAACCTCCACCAGAGAGTCTGGTAGAAACACCTCATCATCAGCCTGAGACCCTCACCTTGCATCAACAGAGGGACCAACATCTTTGAAGACTAGAGGAGGCTCCATAGACTGGTTACTCTTCATGGACACACAGCTGGGTGCAGGTTCAGGTCCTGGTCTCTGATGGGTCCTGGTCACACATGTAGAAGCAGAGTCACTGAGTCAAAGATGTTGGGACATGGAGACGAGTGGAGGACAGTTGGAGATGGTCCTCTCACCTCTGAGCTTTGGTCCTGCTGTCATGTTCCCCACACAGAGGAGCTTCAGAGGGACGGACTCCGTCCTCTGGGTCCTCAGCCGGATTCATAGCAGAGTCCACACCTTCACACCTTCACAACCACCTGCTGGGAGAACTCACACATTAAGATCTTCATCAGGACAAACACACAGAGCTCATTCACCTCAACACTAAAACTCTCATGAGACACTGTCCAGTAAGAGGACACACTGTGGTTACCATGGTAACACGGGGAAGCCTTGTCTTTACACTCTAAAAGTGACTAAATGTGTTTAAAGCAGATGAAGAAGTGAACATGAAGCTTTGTGGACTTAAAGGACTGAAGCAGCAGGTGAGACAAACAGAGCGTCTCTCAGGTGTGTTTGAGGAACAAAGGCCCAGGTGAGCTCTGTGGTCTCTGCTGGGTCCTAGTGCCCCTCCGTCTGCTACCTTCCCCTCCTCATCAGTAACAGTCCTCACAGACCCCAGATCAGACTGAGCTCCTCTTCTTCATCAGTCAGACCAACAGCAGCTCCTCTCTGCCTGCTCACACAGGCGCCATCTTGTTTCCCAGCTTTAAACAATCACACGTTCACAACCATCAATGATCATTCAACCAATCACAGCTGCACTTACTGAGCTTGTAGACATGAACTTCCTCAGTGAGCAGCTCTCTTCTGTCCTCAGCAGGTCCGTGTAGAAAAGGAGCTCCGTGCTTCACTTCAGCTTCCATCAGACGGAGTGAAGCGAAGCAGCTTCTTATCTTTTATCAGAGAAGGTGTTTCCTCACGTCACCATCAAAGTACAAAGTCTGACTGGGTGACTGAGTGTCAGTGTGAGCCGTGTTCACAAAGCTCAAAGGTCCTCGACTAGTAGGGAACACGTGATGAAGCAGAAACCTTTGTAACAAATGTGGTGAAGAGTTTATGTTGAATAAAAACATCCACTAAGACAACAGAGTCAGAGTGTTTTTATTCTTCTCTCCACTTTGAGGATCTGGTTGAACCTGTTTGGGCGGAACAACTTACTCGTATCAGTCTGAAGCTGCGTGTTAAACCTTTTACCTTTATGACAAACTGCCGCTTCCTCACAAAGTACACGCTGTTACATTCAGGATTCTACTGAGGCTTCGTGCTACTTCCTCAACCCCATGGCTCATACCTGCTGTGCAAAGGATTGTGGGTAAGAACAGGCAGTAAAGAAGCCTGCTTGCATACAGTAAAATGTGCCTGAATGTGACTAAGTGTTTTCATCTTAAAGTTCCTCCCTTTGTCCCATTTCGGTTATTGTTGTTAAATATATTTGCGTGTGGTGGGTTGCAGATATTTTAGGGGGCAGGTGCTCAAACCAAAACAAAAGGGGGCCCTTTTGTTTTGGCAAATTACTCAAAATTTGAGAGCGCAAATCAGGTTGATGCGAGCGAGCAGGAAGGTGAACTTCGTCGCTCGCGAGGAGAATCTCTGCTCACGGCCGAAGGTGTTTTCTACGCGCTCGCTGTTCTTTCTGAATGAATCCTTCACACGCTCAGCGCGCAGCGACGTGTCCTTGACGCCAGTCGGCTGTCAAGTCGGCTGTGTGTGTGTGTGTTGTGATGGCCCAGCCGACGAGCAGTGCCCCACATGGCGAGAAACGGCCAGGAGAGGGGCACCAAGAGGCATGGTAGTGGAAGGGCGATACTATCCCAGGTGCTATCAATCTCGCAGGCAATCAGGAGCCTGTTTTAAACCTCCCTCCCAGGAGACACAAGGGAGAAGGAAGCAAGCGGAACGCAAGGAGAGGGAGACCCAGGGATATTGCACAGCGAAGGAAACTAACCCTTTGTATTCTCTCTCCTGCACCAGGAGGAATCCACAGAAGCTCGGACGTCCCTGGCCACCCCGGTGAAGAACTTTTGAGTTATCGTTTTCTCACACTTATTTTGTTGATAATAAACCTTGGTTAAATTCCACCATAACCCTACGTGTCGTCCGCCTCTCTTCTCCCCGGAGACCCCGTGGCATACCCTGTGATGTCAGGCGCCCACAGTGTGTACATGATGGTATCATTGTAATCTTTCGGGGGGAGGTGCTGTTATCTCAATATTCACAGCAGTGAATAAATGGAATCATTGGCTGAGAACACGTCATGTCCGATACGATAGGTGGCGCTGTTTTCATTACAACTAGTTGTGATGCAGCCATTTCCGCTTGACCTCTTCACCACGACCAACAACAACAACAACAACATCAACGTCAGGAGAAAGACGGCGAGCGGAGAGCGAGGTGAAGCTACGTCCCTCTACTATGTGTGCGTGATGCTAACAGGAGCGCGGCGAATGCGAATGGCGCTATTGGCTGATTCGATAACGGAGAGAAGACGCCGTCGCCGAAGGTACATGGAGAATTTAATTCTGACCAACAATATCTTGTTGAACTCTGCCATTGTACCGCAAAGGTCTGGAAGAGCTCTGGATGAAGAGCAGAAACAAAGTCTTCTGTTTTCACCGTATCGGATGACGACGACTGGAAAGCGAACTTTCGCACGACTCGAGGATCTTTCCACAAGTTGTGTGGAATTATGGAAGGAGTCATGAAGCCCGCGGAGGTGACTGTTCGAGCACCGATGCCGCTGTCCTCCAAGGCGTAGTGCACGACACGTATCGCTAAGTTTGGGCCAAATACGTTTAGTTGTCTGCGCTGTGCAACGTGAACGCTTACTGATCCGTTCAATTCACCGCGACCTCAGGCCTGCGTGTGCGTGTTTGTGTGTCCTGTGTCGCCTACGTATGTTCACGCGTGTGTTAGTGTGTCGTGTGTGCCATTAGAAGCTGACGACTTGTTCTCTTTCAGCTTGTGGAGCATCAGCTGTAAGATGCCTGGGTGAGCTCATGACGCTAACGTGCTCAGCCAGACACGCCTGTTAGCAGAAGTAAGTCGTACTCTGAAGACGTATTAATGTGGGGATCAAATCAATGAGATCAATAAATGAGTCGAGCTACTGAAAGTTATTCATGCAGAAACTAGTGGAGCTCCCACCAAGCTATTGAGATGTTACCAGCTTAAAGTAGAATGATGTTTTATAGAGGCTTTATTGTGCTTTTATGTATATATTGTTTTATTTTTGCTGGGCCATTTAGTAAGCAGGTCCAACACTGGAAACCATTTCTGTTTCTCCTCCCAGGAACCGAGAGAAATCGCTCACTTCCTGTTGGGAAGCTGTGGATCCCAACTGGTCAGTGGAAGCGGCCACACTGGCATCGAACCTGCCACAGCCAGGTGGTCGTGCCAACAACCGTGGACAGAGGATCAGAGCCGCCCTCAGATTACCTGAGTGCAAACCTGCCCCGCGCAGA